GTAGAACTTGACATTGCCCCATGCAGCCCGGGGCCAGCTGTTAGCACCAGGCGGCCTTTTAGAGGCCCGTTGGTGTGGGCAGCCCCGCTCCTGTGATCAAGTAGAAATTCACGGGCAAGAGCTTGGGAATAGCACTGACCCAGGGCCAAGCTCGACTCTATTCTCTTCTCAGCTGTGCATTCTGGGGCCAGGCCAGGTGCTTACCCCTCTGAGCCTCAATGTCTTTACCTCTAAAGTGTATCTAATCATCCCAGTGGAGTGGGCTTGTTGCCTGGATCAAAGGAGGGAACGCATGTAAGTCTATACCAGTAGAGCGGCTGGGGCCTTAAGAGGCCCCAAAGAACAAGGTTGATGAGGAGTTGGAGGTGGAGGCGTCGAGGATGGCGACCCGGCTGAGGAAAAAGCACTCTGTTGCTGCCCCTCTTCCCAGACACACAGGGGCTTTTCAACTTTTCCTTTGCTTCCTTTGTGCCCTGGATTCTTCACGGATGCTCTTGAGCTGCAGGGGGAGGAGGGTCTGTCTTCCCGCTGCAAGGACAGTCCACAGCGGTCGTAGGGCCACAGATCATGTTCCTTTGATCGGTGCATCGAGGAGCCCAGTAAAAATGCCCATGGCTTGTGTGATTGTTATGTTTTCTTCCCTTTGCCTCCGTAATCCCACGCTGATGGAGAAGGCACTTCACCCTTGCGTGCTGTCAGTCCACCTGTCAGTTGGACTTGGGGACGTAGATTGCAGGCATCCGGGGACGGGTTCATGATTGACGGTGGGGAGGATGTTTCAAGCACCCTGGAGAAAAACAAGCTGCGAGGGACGAGTGGTTATTGGGATAATATGGCTTTTCCACTTCTGTGAGTGTTAGTAATCAAAAGCAGGATTTGGCCTTTCTAGAGAGTAATTTTGCAATTTGGCAGCGCTGGAAGGGAGAATTCCACGGAATCCATTGATACATTCTCTTGTAAAATCCCTCAGCCAACTTTTTCTTTTGGGGGGAGGAGTTGATTTCTTTAATTAAAAAAAAATAACTGTCCCCATTAAGAATATAAAACTAAAAAGAGATTTCCTCCTTCCTGTTGGAGCTCGGGCAGCTCCGTTCTTGAACTAAGCAGACCTAAATAGAATTGCCAGTGAGATTTGACAACTTTTATAATGTTTTATTATTATTATAATTTTCCTCCTCCTCCTTTTTTTTTTTTTTTTTCCATTACGTAGCTGGAGCCTCAAAGGAGAGGACTGTAAAGCTAACTTCATTCCTTTCAGACTTCTGGCCCCAGGGGGCGATTCCAAGTGGTGTGGCTGCTCAGGATGGCTCCAGCTTTGGTTTGGAGGTGGTACATGCCACGGGAAAGCTCGGCCAGGGGACCCCTGGGTGTTGTGAGGGCTCTGTAGCCTCATGGAAACTTGGCAGACACTCCTTGTCCCCTGTCTGGCTACTCTGACGTGCTTTCACATGACAAACAAAGTCAGGGGCCGAGGTGGAGATCGTTGCACCCCCAAGGGATGAGAGAAGCAGGAGAGGAATCTTGGGCCCTAAGCCCCCTGCTCCTCTAAAAGTATATTGCATCCTATAAATGGAAAGAAATAATCAGGAGCCTGTCTAGGAGTAGCGAGGGTACAGTTGGGTTAGAATCCTGGCTGTGTCTCCTTCTAGCTCTGTGACCACGGGCAAGTTGCTTGACCTCCCAAGGCCTTGGTGGCCTTATCCCGGAAAGTGGGGATAAACCCAGTACCTGTTTCATAGGGTCACAGAAAGGATGGAAAGGGCCAATGCAGCATCCTTCACGCTGTGTTAGGTGTAGTGTTCTTGGTACCACCTGATTTCAGGTGGACTCCTAAGCCTTGAAAGAATAGTTGGTTTATGGCAAAAGTCACAACTAAGTTGGGGATTTACTGATATGTATTTCTTCTAGGGAGGAGTTCTTAGCCTGTTTGGTGCCATGGGCCTCTCCGGTGGTCTGGTGAAACTTATGGGTCACACTTCTCAGAATAATATGATTAAATGCATCCTATCGAATGCATAGATTGCAAAAAGAAAACCAGTTATCCTGAAACGTAGTTAACAAAATATTTTTAAACGGCAATATGGGATTACGTGCACTTTATAAATGTCTTAGGTAACAGGATCTAGTAGCAGGTCTAAAAGGACTGTCATTTTGAAGCTGGGATAAGCACAAATGGTATCTTGAGGCATCTACAGCAGCTGCGGTGGAAATGAAATTATTTCATTTCTGTTGATGACAGTCGCTAGGGCTGCTAATACAACCGTGGCTTGTTGCCTACATTTGTAAGAGAAAGGAATGCTAAATTTCAATTCAAGATTAGTGAAAATAAAGACGTCATTTTAAAAATCCAAATTTAGAACCTTAAGTTTTCCCCTGAGGAAAGGCCTCCCAAGTCAAGGAGACAGGCTTCCTCCTGAGAAATTCTGTGGGCTGAAAGCATGAGTCATTTTTGTGAAGGCATAACAGAAGTTTCTACTAAGTGCCAGGTATTTTCTAGGGCATATGGTGGGATCTTTTCAACAGTCTCGTGAGGCTCAGAGAGGTTAAGTGCCTCATCCAAGGCCACACAGCGTTAGATGGCGGATCTTTCAGAGAACACGTATCTTCCCGAATCCAACACCTTCATTCTTTCCACTACATCCAGATTCTTAAATATCTAAATAGAAATCAGGGTCCAGTGGGTTCTTCAGGGATAGGAAGGTATCGGGGTGGCTCAGGGTAGAATGGTGTGGTTTCTCCTCATCATCTCTGTGTTTTCCTCATTTCACAGACGGGGAAACTAAGGCTTAACGAGGCGACCTGCTTTATCTGAGCTCACAGAGTTAGCAAGGACATTGGGCTGGGTGTGCTACAGGCTGTGGGGGGCGGTGGAGGGACTCACTTCCGGGGACTTTATGAAGACTGGGCATTTCCCGGAAGTAGCAGCTTTTCTGCATTTCCCAGGTGACTTGGGATCGGATTCAAATCCGGTTCTCCCCCTCCCACCTGCAAGTAGTCTTCTTGGGAGAAGCATGGGGAGGGCTTTGAATATCTTTGTCTTCATCTTTGTTTTGCTTTTCATCCAGGCGGCGCTTCCACTTTGCACAAAATAGTAAGTGCCCTAAAAGTTTTCCCATATCCCCAGCTCCTGAAGGGAGCCCTGGTAATCATCTCATAAGTTAGATGATGTTACGTGTCTTACTACCTCGATTCATCTCGCACGGCTTTCTGCATCCATGTATGGACCGTCTCCACATTCTTTTTGAAGCCTGTGTAATATTCCATTCTCATCTCTGTCAGAGTTTACTTAACCATTCATGAGGACATTTAGGCTGTTTCTCATTTTTTTCCCTGTTATAAACAGTGCTGCAGAGAGAAGCCTCATGCTTATGTCTTTGCACACAGACTTGAACAACTTTTTCTAAGATTTTATGAATTTGAGATAGAGCGAGAGAGAGCACGAGTGGGGGAGGGGCAACAGGAGAGGGAGAAGCAGGCTTCCCACTGAGCAGGGAGCCCAATGTGGGGCTCGATCCCAGGACCCTGGGATCATGACCCGAGCTGAAGGCAGATGCTTAACCGACTGAGCCACCCACGTGCCCCTGACTTGAACAACTTTTTAGGAAAACGCATAGTAGTTGGATTGCTGCATCTACGTTATTGTACGTTTTTAAGAAAAGGGATGCTATCCAGTTGCCTTCCAAAAAGAAGGCGCTGGATCACCCTTCCACCAGCCTGCACAGTGTAATTGTGATTCTCCTGCCCACGATTTCCTCTCCCCCACCCCAAACATTGGCAGCCCCCTCTCCTGCATGGGATGAGCATGTGTTCCAGGCCAGACCATTCTCTTCGTAAGCTTCTCTCAATTCGTCCTTTGATCTTAGAGCCACCCCTCCTCCCAGCTCCTCTGCAGACTCCCACTCTGACCCTCCCCACCCACCTGGCTTCCTGTGGGGCTCCTGGGCCTGCTGAGCACACCTCCCTCCTTCCCAGGGGAGGTTTCAGTTGAAGTCTCCAGGCTAACGTGAGGAAGAGTGTGGGAATACTGGAATGAAAGCTGAAGGCAAGGGCGTGTGGATGGTGCATCCTAAGAGGGTGGGGAACCACATTCTGAGCCCTTGGGGGGACGCTATTCATAGGATGTCGCTGGATTTTATTCTGCTTGGTTCACTCGTGTGACCACTGAAGCTCCGAAGGGCACACAGTCTGTAAGTGATGGGGATGGGATGTGAATCTGGATCTGCCTAATTTTAGATCCCATGCCCTGTGCTCTGTTTCCTTTGTCCTTGCTCTTCCTTCCTCTCTTTCCCTCTCCTACTGTCTCAAAACAATGGCAATAATGATGATGCTTGCCATTTGTGGAGCACTTGCTATGTTCAGTTTTTCACACATATTAGTTCATTTCTTCTCTCAGCAATGTTTGAACTGGGGATTTTTACTAGCCAGGCATGGAGGATAAGTTCATTATTGTCGGTGGTGACAAGGATACCCGCTCAAAAGGAAATTCGAAGGCTCGGGCAGCAAACTACCCAGATCAGGGTAGCCGAAGATCGTACCTGACTATCCTAGGTGGTCAGCAACTTCTTTACTAAGGTTGGACAAAGACCTCAGCCCTGTTTTAAAGATGGAAACCCAGAAGTTCAGTCTAAGTGACTGCTTCGCTCTTCTAGCTTTTGAATTAGGGAATTCAAAGACATATACATTAGGTTGAAATATTTGAAAATGCCACGTGAAGAGGGGTTCCTCGTGGGGGATGCTCATTTAATTTTTGGCATACACATAGGACTATTCATAAACCTACTTGCCTAATGTATAAGGCATGAAAAGTTAGTGCGTGGATATATGTGTCTGTGGTGTTTGAAGCACTTGGGTATAATTGGATCACTGTGTTCATCAAAGACTGCTTTTTTTCTTATTCTGTGATGAATTTCTGGTGGATTCTTTGGCCCTGTGGTTCAGCCAGTGGGGGGAATCTGTATCGGGGCACTGATCAATGTTATTTCCCATCTTCTCTCTTTCAGTAAAGAATATCCTGTGGTTCCGAGGAGCACAGTAAGACAAAAAGTAGCCTCCAACCACAGTCCTTTCAGCAGTGAGCCTCGAGCTCTCTCTGCTTCATCCAACTTGGGGTCCCAGTACCAGTGCGAGAATGGTGTGTCCGGCCCCGCCCAGGACCTCCTGCCCCCACCCAACCCATACCCACTGCCCCAGGAGCACGGTCAGATTTACCATTGCACCAAGAGGAAAGGTGAGTGTGATGACCCTTTTCTGTTTTTCCTTCCTTTCCTTGGGGAAAAAAAAAGTACGCATAACTATGTTTATTTATTTAAAAAAACGTAAGCAATATAAAAATACATGGAAATTGTAAGAAATTCAAACCATATCAGTAAAAGAGAAGGATCTCCCTTGATACATCTCCTCCAGTTCTGGCCCCTTCCTTGGGGAAAACTTATTTGAACTGTCCATTCCTATTTAATTCATTTACACATGGGTGTGCACGCACACCCATTGTGCAGAGACACATAAAAATAGTTTTGTTCTTACTTTTAACAGTTGATATTATACTGTCTGTATTTTGCAACTTGCCTTTCTTAAGCTCGGGAATACGTTGTAGATGATCTTTTCATGAACCTAGAGCTGCCTTGCGCTTTCTAGCTGCTGAAGAGAAAATATGGCCTCAAAAGGATGAAGCAGAGTTTATTTTTCACTCCCACGAGTGGACAAGGTGGCTGCTTCTAGCGTTTCTGGTTGTATTACAAGCCAGGCTGCAGAGAGCCTTCTTGTAGTTGGATGTGTTTTAGTTCATGTACTAGGGTTTCTCTTGGGTGGGTGGATTCTGAGCTCTTCTCTCATTCCAGATCAAAATCAATAAAAAAGAAAAAAAAGAAAAAGAAAATCACAACTGATCTTCTCTCCTTTGCATTTTTTCTTTAAATCTAGTTTAAATTCTGTCTGAGACCCTTCATTGTCTTCTTCGCCAAATGAGAAATGGGTGACTTTTCCTAAGTCATCTGAGTTGAGGGCTGTAATACAAAAGGAAATTTCTGGCGGCACATTTTTTGAGCCAGGGTTGAAGCGGATGTGGTTGAGTTCAGCTTAATAGAACGTCACTTGTGTGAACGGCAGACTGGCACGGTGGGGACAGCATGGGCGACAGGGCCAGACGACACAGGCTTGAGTCTCAACTCCACCACCAGCTTCTTGTGTGACCTCAGCAGGTGTCCTGGCCTCAGTTTCTCGCCTTGTAAATGGTGCTTGAGATCCCCAGAGCATCTGATACTCAGTAAGCACCCAGCAGGTGTTAGGTCTGATTGTGTGAGTGGCAGGTATGGCTCCAGGGAGAGCATCCACAGAGGAAGGGAAGGCTGCTTATCTGGGTGAAGTTTCGAGAAAGCGGATATGGGGGGGCAGGGACCACGTACAATTGGGATGAATCCCACCTTTGCCATTTGCAGATTTTTATGAGTAGGAGCAAGTTCCTTAACTGCTCTAAGCCTTATTTTTTCTAATCTGTAGATTTGGTCTCATGATCGGACCTGTCCCATAGGTGTGGTGTGATGATCTCATGAAAGTGTGCTTGCCATATTTAGCACAAGGTTGACCCAAGAAGCAGTCACTGGTTTGCTCCAGCAGGCCCAGATCTTAGTCTTTGAGAGGGGTCTCTCATACCTCCCAGCCTCAGTGGCCACCTCGATGCCTTTAGAAGTCCAATGCCTAGTGTCTGGAACAACTACTTCTTCTCCCTCCTCCTCTCCCTCCTCCTTTTCTTCTTCTTCTTCTTCTTCTTCTTCTTCTTCTTCTTCTTCTTCTTCTTCTTCTTCTTCTTCTTCTTCTTCTTCTTCTTCTTCTTTCTTCTTCTTCTTCTTCTTCTTCTTCTTCTTCTTCTTCTTCTTCTTCTTCCTTCTTCCTTTTCTTCTTCTTCTTCTTCTTCTTCTTCTTCTTCTTCTTCTTCTTCTTCTTCCTTCTTCTTCCTTCTTCTTCCTTTCTTCTCCTTCTTCTCCTTCTCCTTCTTCTCCTCCTCCTCCTCCTCCTCCTCCTCCTCCTCCTCATTCTTCTCCTTCATCGTCTTCTTCCTTTAAATCAGCTCACTAACAAGAACTGATGGAAATGGTTGCTTTGGCAGTCTTCTCTGAGCAGAGGTTACTCGAGGAAAGTAACACAGTTTGACTCTTTGACATTTACTGATCTCATGTCTTGAAGGAGAGAAGGGCTGTCATTGGTTCAAGCCTGGGGCTGGGGAGCTGCCCTGGGCAAGGCTGAGTTTCCAGACTTAACCTGAAGCCCATCCAAGCTCCTTGGATCTTGAAGGCCTGAACAAGAATATCACCCCAATGGGCCCCCTGGCCCGGCTCCCAGCATGTCCACTGACGCCTGGGCTGGAGACCAGATGCCTGCAAACATGTCAGCCTCTTCAGGCACGAGCAGGATTTAAGCACGTCCCTTGGGGCACAGGTGATTGATCAGAATGAAGACTCTGATCTATGTCCTGTTGAAGGGAAGCGTTGCCTAGGTTCTAGGCCATAGCCTTTTGACAACACTATTACGTGTGTGCTGTTATTCGCTCACCTTACAAACAGGGAAACTGAGGCTCAGAAAGGTAAAATCATGTGCTCGTGGTTCCCGAAGGTGGGAATTTGAACCCATGCTTGGTCTGCAGGATCTGCCTGAGCTCCGAGTCACACTGTAGATGGTCCCCATTACCTTTGCTTATCAGCCATAATCTCAGAATGCCACTTTTCACTAGAGATCGGTCTGGAGACTGAGTCAAACATATTGATGAAGAGCTCACCAGGTTTGAATTAGGGAGTTCTGTCGATTAAATTAATGCCAGGCCAAAAGAAGGGGAGGAAGAAGTTAAAAAGAATACAGGTACTTTTTTAGATTCAGTATCTACAGCATCATCCTTGTAAAGGCTTTTCTCTTGGAGGGTGGTGTGAGAAGGCTTTGAAGGCAAGGGGATGAAGTCTTCCGATGATGTGAGCAGATGACCCGCACAGGGTATTTGGAGGGATCCTCAGGTGAGCTCAGGGTCAACTTGAGGTGGCCACTGGGGAAGCCAGACTTGGTGGCCTGTCTGCCGCAGGACATCCCAGCAGCTGACGCTTTCCAGCAGCATGGCGATGGGCAAGCTGCTTGCTTTCTCAGCCTCAACTCCCTTTTCTGCAAAATGAGGATTACAGTAGCATCTCCCCCACAGGGTCGTGATGAGATGGAATGAGAGGGTTCATGCGAAGCACCCGGAACAGTGCCCGACACATCTAAGTGCTCGATGCGTGTTAGCTGGCCACCGCTCTGCACTTAGGAAGCTCACGGCTGCAAGCGGGTCAGATATGTAATTATATACGGTGATACAACTGCTTGATTAAAACGGTGATCTGATGCTGTGAAGGAGATAGGAAACGTGCCGATGCATATGATGCGGGGTGTGATGCAGGAGCCGGGGGACCAGGGGGAATTTAAGCCAAGGTCTGCAGAGCAGAAGCTGGATGGAGAAAGAGGGGAGATGGCCGGGGATCTGGGCAGAGAGAAGGGTATGGGTACAGGCCCTCAGAGATTGGGGAGCCAGCCCCCGCTGGGGAGCAAACACAGGGCCACTGTGGCTGGAACACAGTGAGGGGAAGGGGAGGCAGATGAGCTACGGAGAAAGGCAGGAGCCAGCACGCTGCCAGCCCTTGTAAGTCATTTTAAGGACTTTAGATTTTTTTAAAAAAGATTATTTGTTTATTTATGAGAGAGAGAGAGAGAAAGCGTGCACACGAGCAGGGGGAGGAGTGGAGGGAGAAGGACAAGCCAACGCCGTGCTGAGCAGGGAGCCTGATGAGGGGCTCGATCCCAGGGCCCTGAGATCATGACCTGAGCCCAAATCAAGAATCAGAGGCTCAAACGACTGAGCCACCCAGGCGCCCCGGGACTTTAGATTTCATCCTAACCCCAACAGGCAGCCATCAGAGGGGTTTTGACCGGTGAGGGATGTGATGAGGTTTCTGTTTTGAAGCAGACGTTTTGCTGTGTTGGGGAGTGGGGGGGCGGTGAGGATTGGTGGCAAAGCTCTGCCGAGAGGCTATTGCAGACCCCGAGGCGGGAAATGACAGTGCTCAGCCCCGCCGCCAGCACAAGATCTGCAGGTGTGGGTACAATCAGGCCCCAGGGACCCGTTGCCGATAACAAGGTGAAAAATGACTCCCTTTCCACAGATGCAGAAACTGAGGCTCAGGGAGATTGAGTGATTGGTCCAGCATCACCCGGCTCGTGAGTGGTCCCATTCCAAGTTCATGCCACGGTCCGTGCATTCGGGCTGCAGGGGGTGTGCACCCTGCAGGACCCCTTTCACCTTGCCACAAACCTCTGCCCTTCTCACCTCCCTCCACCCCAAAAGGGCGCTCCCAGGGACAGGGAGCATTCCAGCCGAGCTCTGTCTGTCCCGCGTGCCGACAAAAAGCAATTCATCATCAGCCTCCATTGTAAGGTGATAAGGAATCAGCAAGGTTTCCTTCCAGTTTGGGATTCCCGTGAAGTGATAGCTCCGTGGGTGGTTCCCCGCCCCCCCGCGGCCCCTGCCTGCCCCACTATCTGACTTCCCCTCATTGTCTGTCTCCTTTCCAACGAGCCCAGGAGGCAGGCCCAATGAAATGTCAAAGGGCCAGGCAGGCCAGAGGGTTTCTTGTGTTTGGACCCAGCTGTCTCCAAACTATCTCTCCCCATGGATGGAGCTGAAAGAGCCAGGAAGGTCTTTTATCAATGCCACTCAATCAAATCCAGGACCCCGGGGCCTGGGAGAACACTTGTCTGTCTTTCTTTCCCCCTCCCACCCTGATAACCGCCCCCCTCCCCAACCTTAGAAACCAGGGGCAACCCAAATAAAGATTTGAGCAAAGCCATCTACTGCCCTGGCTATTCAAAGGGAAGTCAGAGGTGAGGCGGGGGGAGGAAGAGAATATAGTAAAGGGTTCTGTGGGTTGCATTTTGTCAGTGCTGTGCTTTTTAGAGCAACTTCACATTGCTTCCTTCACTGGACCTTCCTCGCAGCCCGTGAGCCGGGGTTGGGGGTGGTGGTGCCCTCCATCCCCGTTTTGCAGGGCATAACAGGGGACTAGGAGGTTGGATTGGCTTTCCAAGGTTATGTGGCTGGTGAGTGGCAGATCCGGGATGCACTCGTGAAATAAATATTTGTTGAGCATTTACTTTGTACCGGGCGCTGTCCCTTGTACATGGGATAAGGGGACAGCAAGGGGGTGAAGGTCCCTGTTTTCCCGAAATTTGTATTCTCCTTGGGGAGACAGATAATAAGCAGATAAATAAATGTCATGATGTTCAGATGGTGGTTCTGTGAGGATTGGACCCGAGTCTTTGGATTCCTAATTGAGATTCTTCTCACAATACTGATTCAGTCTGTCCCCACTTTGAGCTAAGAGCTAGCATTACGGGGACACACACACACACACCATCCATCCATCCATCCATCCATCCATCCATCCATCCATCCACCAGGTCAAGGTTACCATCTTTTCATCCTTTCTGGACACAGTGAGTTTCACGAAAGCCGAAAGGCTTAGGCTGTCCCATCCATCCATCCATCCATCCATCCATCCACCCACCCACCAGGGCAAGGTTACCATCTTTTCTTTTTTTCTGGACACGAAAGCTGAAAGACTTAGGCTGTCTGTCAGAAAGAGCACTGTGTTGTGACTCAGAAGGCCTGAATCATACTTCCTCTTCTGACTTGCTGAAGGTCACTCAGCCCAGGAGTGGTGGTTCACCCAGATCTTTCATCCGAATAAACCCAATCAGCAAGAGAAATGACCCATTTGGGAATAGTGACAATATTTGCTTAATGGGATGAACAATTTAAAAGCAGCCTTGTGAGTTTTCCTGCTCTGGGATCCACCCAGACACCTTCAAGCATTGGACAGCCTCCACACAGCCATCCATCCGATCTTCTGAGAGGGAAAAGAGAGGAGACCCATGTTACGTGGACAGATAAGATTTGAACACTTTATTATCATCTCCATTCCTGCAAGAAATCTAAGCATTATCCCCCTACATAGTCAAGAACTGAGGTTGGGATATGGTGCAGTGGCCCGTCCAAGGTCACATAGGTAGGGAGAGTCAGAGACATGCCAGAGACATGCCACTGTCAGAGACAATCTCTGCTCTGGATTGATTGTTAAAGCCATTTATCCAGAATCAGAAACCACTAGAAAAATGCAAGGGGCCGGGATATTTCACAGTGCTATTTGGTGATCGGTGCTCAGAATCAGGAGGAGCTTTCCTGTTATTCAGGAGACTCAGTTGGGTTCAGGACAGGTGGAATATAATTGACCACTCTTACTACTCACCTTTCTGAAACTGAGTGCTGGACCTGTCTCATGGAAGACTTGATGCTTGACTACCTATTCCCCGGCCGTGGAAGGGAAACACGACTCGGCTGGGGAAGAGATCTTTGCTGTTGACCAATTATCAGGCTCCCAATAAAGAGAAAGAAACCAAACCATGGCCAAAACAAACACAGGGATGATATCCCAACCATTGATCACCTCCAACCTGAAATTTGGATCTGTGCTTTGGAATTTCTTTACAATGTGATGAGGTCCAAAGAGGAATTTGAGAACACTCGGGACCCGCTTTCATGAATAAGCCAGCCTTTTGCTTTTCTTAGGACTCTGCATCAGATCTTCGGGTTATTAAAGACTGGAATGTGTAATTTTACGATTTTCCAAAATGTGCTCCGGCCTTTTTCATATTATTCTTCCTTTTTTTTTGCTTGTAACAAATCTGGAAGGGGATCAGAAACTCGGGAATGGTTAGTTTGCCTTGTTTTTTTCTCTTGCCAAGGGTACCCTGCAGCTGTACTCTTGATTATTGAAAAGGGGAACGCCCTGGTTAAATGGAAAACCCAAAGGTTATGATTCTAGCAACAATGGAAACATTCAGATTTATGGATCTGGGGCGGGGGGCGGGGGGTGGGGAGGTGGGTGGGTTGGAAGGAAGCGTGGAGGCACGAGGGAACCGAGGGAGGAGGTGGGGAGGACGGAAAAGTTCGAGTGTAGCAATGTCTTCAAGACACCAAAGACAAATGCCCCGTTGGAAGGTGGAAAAAGTGGCCACGGGCTCATCTGGATGTCTTCAAACATCTGGATGGCTGGCATGATGTAGATAAAGCACCTGGAAGAGAGGCCGCGTTTTTGGCTTTTATTTTGGACAAATGTTTGGGCGTCCTATGGGGCCCAGATGTGTCCCAGAAAGAGTCTAGCTAAAAATAAATGTGCTTGCTGGGAGGTGGGTCCAGTCCCAGCATAGATGGGTTTAGATGGGGCAGAGTTTTACCCGCCTATGGGTGTCACTCAGGGTGTGATGCCCATGGAAGCATTCGGTGGAACCCAAACCCAAGCTCTCCTACTCGAGTTGGGGAGCTGTTTTAAAATCCTGTGCAAAAACCAAAGGACTCCCTGTGGGGTGAAGCTTTATATGCAAGGACCACCTCCCGTTCACCGAGAGTCAGCCTCCCACTGTCAGTTACTGCTCAGGGTGGGATGGAGAGCCCCCCCACCTCCAAAGTGCACTGAGCAGGACCCTGGCTAATTATTGACTGCTCTATGCCCAGCACCTGGCACTTGGTCATGGCTCAGCACATCTCTGTTGGATGACTAGGTGAGTGGCATTCGCTGTGAGAAATCGAGAGAGCTGGAAGCAAGGTGTGGTTGGCAAGGAAGCCAGACGTGGCTTCGATTCCAGCCCGTGCTCCTTCCCAGTTCCGTGACCTTGGGAAGGCCACGTCTCTGAGTTCAGTTTCTGCCCATTGACGGGGGCAAGAGGGGCCACCTGGAGGAATTACTGTGAGACCAGGGAAAGGTCTCTTAGTAGGTGCTCAATACCTAATAACGATGCTCTCCTCCCATTATTTAGTTCCATGTGCTGCCCCCAGGCCACTGACCGTCACAGCAGGTGCAGGGATGCCCCTGTGTTTCCTTTTTCTTCACACCCCCCAACAACAGACACTTTTTCTTAAGACTTATTGATTCAAAAGAGATTGGAAGATGAGGTTTACACCTTGGCCGAAACTCTCAAGCATTGCTTCCCCGAAGGAAACACCTGGAGGTGTGTTAATCTGTGTTAGGTCTGCTGAGAGACTGACTGGTGGTGTTTCCCTTGCAGCAAGAGCTGCTCTTGATGACAGGTATCAGGAGATTTACGTGCTTGATTTATTGAATTCTTAGCGGCCAGGTGAGGTAAGTATGACTAACTCTGATTTAGACAAGCTGAGCGTGAGTCTCAGGCCGGCCCTGCTCCTGGCACACAGATAGGAAGTAGGAGAACCGGATTGAAACTCAGACACGTCTACACTTCTTAACTTGGGGTCCGGATTTCAGGGGATCGCTGAGCTCCTGAAAGTGCGTGCAAAGCTGTGCTAGGCACATGGGTGGTTTTCAAAACGTTGTGTTTCGCTGTGTGTTTCTAGGAGAGAGCCCAGCGCTTGTGATTGTTCCGGAAGAAGGCAGTGCCCCCAAAGTAGTTACGGAAGACCCTTTTTCAGAGACAGAATGATCTCCACGGCCCTACGCGGGGGGCTAGCTGGTGTCTGGAGGGAAGGGAAGTGACTTTTTCGATAAGGAAATGGTGACCCGTTAAGTTGTACCGACTCTAACAGATATTTAACTGGGACTTGCCGACAGAGGTGTTGGGGAAAGATCTGGGGATTCGCCCGAGCTCCCGTCCGTCTATGCACTTGCCCATCCGTCCTTCCGTCTGTGGCACAGATACTCAGTGCGTGCTTCTCTGGGTAGCGTGGTCCCGAAGAGCAGAGACTTGTAATTCGATTACTTGAATTCTAACCCACCCCGCTCCACTATTTAGCAGCAGACCTCGGGTGGGTGGCTTGACCTCTCTCTGGGCTTCCGTTTTGTGATCTGCAAAATGGGGATCCTCGCAGAGCCCACCCCATGGGGTTGCTGAGCAGGCTGCATGGGGTCCCTTTCCAGAGAGCGCTCAGAACAGCCCCAGGCGGAGTGAATGCTGTTTGTGTGCATTCATACTGTTACCGGGGAGGGTCTTATTATTATTCTGGCTCCCAGGTATGTTCTGGATTCTGGGGAATACCGTGGTGGGTAGCACAGACGATGTCCCGCCTTTGTGGAACTTACACGCCGAGCTCAGCCTCTGAGCTGAGTCAAAGTCTGTGCTCCAGGCCTCCACCATTACCATCCCCACTTCTCGTGATCAGAGTGGAGGCTGGCACTCAGAGTCTCCCGGACAGGATCCTTGAGTCCTGTGGCCGAGTCCGCCTCTAGTTCCCGGCCTCACTGGTCTCTGTCCTCCTGTCTCCGCAGATGAAGAATGTTCCACCACGGACCATCCCTACAAGAAGCCCTACATGGAGACGTCGCCCAGTGAGGAGGACCCTTTCTACCGCTCCGGCTACCCCCAGCAGCAGGGCCTGAGCGCCTCCTACAGGACAGAGTCCGCCCAGCGGCAGGCCTGCATGTATGCCAGCGCCGGGCCGCCCAGCGAGCCGGTGCCCAGCCTGGAGGACATCAGCTGTAACACGTGGCCCAGCATGCCTTCCTACAGCAGCTGCACGGTCACCACGGTGCAGCCCATGGACAGGCTCCCCTACCAGCACTTCTCGGCCCACTTCACCTCGGGGCCCCTGGTCCCCCGGCTGGCTGGCATGGCCAACCACGGCTCCCCGCAGCTCGGAGAGGGAATGTTCCAGCACCAGACCTCCGTGGCCCACCAGCCTGTGGTCAGGCAGTGTGGGCCTCAGACTGGCCTGCAGTCCCCCGGCGGCCTGCAACCGTCCGAGTTCCTCTATTCTCACGGCGTGCCACGGACCCTGTCCCCGCACCAGTATCACTCGGTGCACGGCGTTGGCATGGTGCCAGAGTGGAGTGAGAACAGCTAAAGTGAGGACTGCTTCCTCACAGACAGTTGCTAGAGAGAGAGAGAGAGAGGGAGAGAGAGCGAGCGGGAGAGCGGGAGAGAGACAGTAGCAGAGAGAACCCCACGGACGGCATTTTTCACTTCAGTGCTCACGTCTGCACTCCAGAGCCCCGGGCGCTGATCTAATCGGCTGCTTGAAACCACAATTCAAAAAATGTGACTTTGTTGTTCCGTCTCAAAACCAACCAAAAAAAGAGGAGCCCCCACCCACCACGACCACCATACTCGTCGGCCGGCCATGTTCACACCACCTCCAGATGTCCTCGGTGATTCCTTCTTTTGGTCTCCAGAAAGCCTTGCCTTACCGAGTGTTTTAGCCGAATGGCGTAGATGGAGTCTTCCCTGTCTTGGTGTTAATGTTGACATTGTTATATAATAAATAATAATATATTTTTTTTCTTTCAATTTTCTTAATGGGACCCAGTCCCTTATTTTGGGGGAGGTCTGAGGCAAGTGTGTTTCAAAATATGTACTGGTGGGGTTCCACCCCAGATATATCACCCCTGAAACCTAAATTTGCCACCCTGCCCTTGACTAAGAAATGACCTACCTCTGCCATGTGATGTTCCTGAAAAGGTTCCCTAGGTCCCAGCTTTTGTCTGATTTTTCCTCTCTTGCCCATCATCACGGAGCCCAGTGTGGCCTTCTCCTTATAACGTTGGCCTCCATCTGGCCTCCTATCTCCTTCTGCCCTCCCATCTTCCGAGCTCTGTGTCTTTCCAGCCGTCTGTCGCTAAAACGTGGCCTATGGCTTCCCGACCGGAAAGCTTGCTTTGAAAAACTTGAAAAGCCCTGGTTTACATGTGGGCAGAACTGTGATAAAGCAAGGAGCAAGCTCTGTGCTGACAAGCGTTGCAAAAAGGCCAAAGTAAATATTGGTCCTGATAAAACACAAAGCCAGCCCCAAGCTTCCAAACCTCCATCACCGACGACCCGCCCCGGATGCCAAGCAGAACCCACTGTTCCTACAGACGGGGCCAGACGTGCTCGCCGATTGGTTCTCCCCAAAGAAATCACACCGACACCAGATGCCGATTCAAAACTGCAGTTATTGAAAGCAGAAAACGGTATAAAAAAAATAAGCGTGTAAGTAAAATGTTATTGCAGGGTTCTTCAGATGTAATATTTTACTGGTACTATTTATTTATAAATAGGAGTTCTAATTAAGTAATAACATGAAATGAAATCCAGCATATGAGCTGGCCAAGAGCTTTTAATTTTATTAATACTCAAAACCAAGTTTGCGTTTTTTTTTCTTTCGAATGTGCTTTGCTTTCTTGATTAAAAAAAATTTTTTTTTAAACTGACCCTAATAAAGAGAACAGGGTAATATGTGAGGCTAAGTATGTCCCAGTACGTGCGAGTGTGTGAGTATGTTTGTACGTGAGTGTCCTCATGCGATTATGTCCTTTTTATGTTGCTAAGGGGTGGGGTGAGAATTAAGTACTCGTTTCGTATATTTGTGTGCCAATTAATGCCTAATAAATACCATGTGCTTAAAAAGTACAAGGGACTTGAATACCCTTTTTTTTTTTTTTACCCTGTTCTTTCTACCGACTGAATAGAGGAAAAATTAGGTGGAGGACATGGGAAGAAGTTGTCTTGCAGGTGCAATTTTTACCCCATCTTCTCTCTCCTGCTGGTCTCAGGGAGTATTTGGAATCCCGTACTTGAGTGTGATGGAGCTGAATATATTTATCTCTTTGCTTATATCCCTGGGATGGAATTATTTGCTTTCATTGAATTTGTGTCAGCGTTGGAAGAAAAAAGATCATCAGGAATCTCAACTGATCAAAAAATATTGGTCATACTCTCTATAACACCTAGTACTTGATTTTCTGAAGGATCTCTTTCTTTGAATTAATTGCTGGAATCACGTGTTTTGGAGGTCCTAATGCAAGCAACCTTAGGGACCTTCGATGACTATTTATTTAAAACCCCCAAATTTAAGATGTGTGAGTTTGTCCAGTATAATACATATAGGGCAGAGCAGAGCAGCAGATTTGTGAGTAAATTCATGCTGCAGTTTTTCAAAATTGTTGTAATTTCAATGCCTGCACCTTTCAAATGATCAAAGACCATCAGATATATCACATCCCCTTGAAACAGGAACAACTAGATTGTTGATTACAAATTATTCATTTAATCAAATCCCCCTGGAACTTTTCCTAGGCAAAGAACTCCCAAGACGTGTGATTTAATTATAAAGAAATGACAACTCAGCTTCTTGTAGGTACAGTGGAGAAACTAGTCAATGTATTCTCATCCCCGCAGAGAATGAATTAAAATTTCACTGAATAAATTCTGACTGTACCCTAAATAGGTGTTTATTCTGATAGGTTAAAAAAAAGGTTGCATTTGAAAAAATTACCTGCCAAAACTCATTTACCAACTATACAAGGTAGTCAGTCTTATTTTTTCACAAGAACATCACAAGAATACTGATTTAACACCCCTCCGGCGCAGCGCTCAAACAGTTGCTGCCAATGCAAAATCACTAAAAACGTGCTCACAGCAAGTTTCATAGAAGGGACATCTCATTCCATAACAGATGCAAGTTAACTTCTTTGGGTTCCAAACAATGGTTACAAAGTATCTTTCCACTGAATTGGTAGGCTTAAGGATGTCACATGCAAGTATTTGTGTAGTTTTATTACTGTTCAGATGTCAAGAGACATGGTGTAAGTTGCCATATTGCTGTAGTATATTTAGTGGATGCTTCTTCTGGACTGGACATGTGGAAATGCTGAGGACACAGTAGTGAACAAGGTGATCGAGGTTGTATTCTTCTGGAGCGTATGGTTTAGTGACACAGCCCTTATGTAATCTGCATGATCAGATTGCAGATGGATTGCAAAGGCGAGATGTATGAAGGCCGCATGCATGATGTCATAAAGGGTTAAGACAAGGAGTCCCCACTTGATCTGGAGGAGGTGTCTTCTGAGCTGAGCCCTGAAGGCTAAGTAGGAATTAGCCAGATGAGAAGTTGGGAGGAAAAGCATTTCAGGCAGAGGGAACAGCTTGGGCAAAGATCCTGAGGCAGGGAAACAAACTGAGGGTTGCTGGAGTGGTGGGGGGGTGGGAGGGATGGGGTGGCTGGGTGATAGACATTGGGGAGGGTATGTGCTATGGCGAGTGCTGTGAATTGTGCAAGACTGTTGAATCACAGATCTGTACCTCTGAAACAAATAATGCAATGTATGTTAAGAAAAAAAAAAGAAGATAGCAGGAAGGGAAGAATGAAGTGGGGGAAATCGGAGTGGGAGACGAACCATGAGAGACGATGGACTTTGAAAAACAAACTGAGGGTTCTAGAGGGGAGGGGGGTGGGGGGATGGGTAGCCTGGTGATGGGTATTAAAGAGGGCACGTTCTGCGTGGAGCACTGGGTGTTACGCACAAACAGTGAAACATGGAACACTACATCCAAAACTAATGATGTAATATATGGTGCTTAACATAACAATAAAAAAAAAAAACGATCCTGAGGCAGAAATGGTGACAAAAGAATGAGCTGTAGGGTTCATGGATGGGTGGTAATGACCTACTCTGCATTCATTCATTTCTTCAACAAGCATGTGTTAAGGTCCCACCCTGTGTGGTAGACACCCTGACTTGTTGAGCAGCTACTAATTGTGTTAGGCTCTTTTCCAGTTAGTTCCCATGACTGCAAAGGACTGGATCTGTGAGCTGGTAGGCTTCTTTGTACTTGAGAGAGGAGTGTTAAAGTCCCCTCCTGGCTTCCTGGTCCAACATTGAACACTTAAGTATGGGACTCAGAGTTATGGGATCACTAGAAGGATCAGCGGAACTTTGAGAGAGTCAGATCATTGGTATTCTTGGGCTCAGAGAGGTTGGGAGCACCACCCCCAACATCACACAGCTGGTGTGCGGCAGAGCTCAGCATAAACCTCAGTTTGCCCAAGCCTTAGCTTCCTTGTTCATTGAAAGGAGATAGGATACCTGCTTCAAAGGACTATTGTCCTTTGAAGTTTAGGTGAATAATACCTGTAGAAATGTACCAAAAAGTACCTACCACAGTACATGTTCCATAAATGCCTGAAAAGACAAACTTATCAGTGAAACACAAGTTAAGCCTAACTTGTATGCATTGGCTTAGCAAATGTATAGTCAAGTAATCATAATACCTATTGCTAATGAGAAAATAAATCCCAGAAACTGCTGGCTGGAATGAAAATAGATAAACTTTTTAAGAGGAGAATTTGGCAAAAGATATCAGAAGCCTTAAAATTGTACTAATCGGTTCATTTGGTAATTCCACTTGGAGGAATTGGTCCTAAGGAAATAATCAGGGATGTGCATCATACTAATTTTCTGGGAAGTTAATCATGATTTTTAGAATCATACAAAACTGGAGACAGACTTATTATCCACTAATATGGTGCTGGTTAAATAAGTGGGTGTAGACCCATGCAATGGAAGACCACATGGCTTATTAAAAAATACATTTGTGAAGACAATTGGAAAGGGATATTTAAGATACACTGAAACTAAAAGAAGCTGATTACAAGTAACGTGCATGGCAGCTTCTCAGTCTTATTAAATGCAACTGTGTTCATTCCAGCTTGCAGGGAAAAAAAACACTTTTAGTTTGTAGAATAGAATAATAATGGTGGCAGGACGATGAGTGTTTACATGTTCTTTGTGTTTTGGGTATTTCTCAATTTTTTTGTGTGATGAAGATGAGTTGTCTTTATAATGAGGAATAGAATTAGTAAAATAAAATCTAGTGTATTCCTTGGCCGTGGTCAAATCGAGTTTGTGAGGAAGGTGGGGCCTCCTGGGTCGACTTTGAGGATGAAGGGATGCGGATCCAATAAGGAGCGCCATTGGCCCGGGGAAGTGACAGAGCTGGGTACCGGTACCAGTCAGCCGACTGCTAATCGCGGAACATTCTACCTCAGAAACAAGGAGACACCCAGCTGCTTCTCTCTTTCCACTTTCTGGGATTGCCTCTTGCTGACTTGCTCCTCTTTGTGGGTTGGGGTATT